TGTACAGAGGTGACCCTCGCATTGATCACTGTAGCCAGGTCATCGCGGTCGAGGAAGGGAACCACTGGCGAATCAGCCGGAGATGGTAAAAGGTTGACTTGGCAGTGGCTGCCACCTGGGCCTCCATTGTTAAGGAGGTTTCCAGGAGCATTCCCAAACTCCTAACCACCGGTGCTGGCACTAATGGTGCCCCACCAAAGGTCGGGAGTGGGATCCCTGCCCCGACTCAGGCACAGGACCTCCATCTTCGCTGGATTTAGCTTCGGCTGGCTCAGTCGAAGCCAACCAGCCACGGCCTGCAATGCCTGGTCCAGATCGTCTGGTCTGGTGTTCGACTGGCCGCCCCACATCAGATAGAGCTGGGTGTCATCAGCATACTGGTGACAGGCCAGCCCATACCTCCAGGCAATCTGGGCAAGGGGACGCATGTAGATGTTAAATAACATCAGGGAAAGCACTGCCCCTTGAGGCACTCCACACTCAAGTGGGCGTCTCCTGGTCTGCTGTTCCCCAAGTGCCACCCTTTGTCCCCGACCTTGGAGAAAGGAAGGAAGCCATTGCAAGGCAAGCCCCTGAATCCCCGCATCGGCAAGGCGGTGGGTCAGTAACTGATAGTTGACTGTGTTGAACGTGGCCGACAGGTCCAACAACAACAGTACTGCTGAACCGCCCCGATCCAGATGCCTCTGTACGGAAGTGTCATCCATAAATCCCTGCAACTGTAATGCCACCGCCCTCTCAATTAATTTGCCCAAAAAGGGCGAAACCATCTCTGGATCCGGCCGAATTGGCCAACTATCAGTTAGTTGGCCAATTCGGCCAGATCCAGAGATGGTTTTTTTCAAGAGCGGGCAGACCATCGCTTCCTTGAATGCCCCCAGGAACTGCTCCTCAAGGAGGGATTTATTAATAATCTCCCTTAGGGCTCCTCAGAACACTTCATGGCCAGCTTTAATAAGCCAGGAAGGGCACGAGTCAAGGCTGCACGTGGTTGGGTGCACAGTTGTGAGCAATCTGTCAACTTCCTCCAGCTGAGCGGGTTGAAGTGATCCAAAGCTGTACCCAAAGATGTGCAAGGGGCCTCGAGTTCGCTCACTGTTTCAACTGTGGTGGGGAGGTTGTGGCGAAGTGCCAAGACTTTATCTGCGAAATAGCTCGCAAATGCCTCACAGCCAATATCCAATTCCCTAGCGTTTGGTCTGCCCTGTGGCAGAGTTGTTAAAGACCGAATCATTCTAAACAATTGGGCTAGGCGTGAGCTCGCAGACGCAATCATGGCTGCATAGAACTCTCTCTTAGTGGCTTTGAATGCCATCTCATAGGATCCCATAAACATCCAAAAGATGCTCTTGTAACTTTGTCTCAAGCATGGCACCACTGTCTCTCTAGCTGTCTCAGCTCTCGCTTCATAAGCCAAAACTCCTGGGTAAACCAGGGAGCAAGTTTAGAGCAAGAGTGCAGAAGCCGCTGGGGAGCAATCTTGTCAATGGCAGTGGAGAGCCGACTATGCCAGTCCTCCACAAGCTCATCCAGTGAGCCGCCGGGGGGGGCATCGGATCTCGCAGAGCCAACTGAAGCCATACTGGGTCTATTTGGCTCCGCGAGCAAGCTAAAATACGCTCGCCGCCTAAACAGGGCCGGGGTGGAACATTCAGATGGGCCTTCAGGGCATGGTGGTCCATCTGACCATGGTACTGAGGCAGTAATCCGGTCCACTGTTATCTCAGCCGCAAAGATTAGATTGAGCATGTGTCCGGCCCAGTGAGTGGGAGCCATTACAAACTGGGAGAGTCCTAGCACCGCCATGGACAGCACATAAATCTAGTTAATTTATTTACCTATTTAGAGCCTGCTTTTCTCCACAAATAGGCATCCCAAATGACCCCCAGCATCACTATCCCCTTGATTATTTTATTCTCACAACAATTCTGTGAGGTAGGTTAGGCTGTGACTGGCCATAGATCACTCAGGAAGCAACTTAGGGGCCCCAGATCCAAGTGCAACAGTCTCACCCAGGGGTCCCCAGTATGGCACATCTGGGTGTCATGACATCTGCCAACACCTTTCCTGGCACTAAGTTTACCAACCTCCAGGTTAGACTTGGAGATCTACCATTATAGCTCTAGACTCCAGATAATATTATTTGTATTTATGTACTTTACATAACTGTGTGGATCACAACAAACTATGGCAGGTCCTTAAAGAGATGGGAGTACCAGACCACCTCACATGTCTCTTGCAAGAAGCGACAGTTAGAACCGGATATGGAACGACTGATTGGTTTAGCATAGGAAAAGGAGTATGACAAGGATGTATATTGTCACCTTGCTTATTTAATATATATGCAGCATCATGCTTATTTAATATATATGCAGCATCATGTGAAATGCTGGCCTGGATGAATCACAAGCGGGAATTAAGACTGCTGGGGAAAAGATCAACAACCTCAGATATGCAGACGATACCACTCTAATGGCAGAAAGTGAAGAGGACCTAAAGAGCCTCTTGCTCAGGGTAAAAGAGGAGAGCGCAAAAGTGGGCTTGAAGCTCAACATAAAAAAAACTAAGATCATGGCATCTGGTCCCATCACTCCTTGGAAAACAGAAGGAGAAGTCGTGGAAGTAGTGACAGACTTCACGTTCCTGGGATCCCAGATCACCACAGACTGTGACAGCAGCCATGAAATTAAAAGACGCCTGCTCCTTGGGAGGAAAGCGATGGCGAACCTAAACAGCATGATAAAAAGTAGAGACATCACCCTGCCAACAAAAGTCCGCATGGTCAAAGCAATGGTATTCCCAGTAGTCATGTATGGCTGTGAGAGTTGGACTATAAGGAAGGCCGAGTGCCGAAGAATAGATTCTTTTGAACTATGGTGCTGGAGAAGACTCTTGAGAGTCCCTTGGACTGCAAGAAGAACAAATCAGTCAATCCTAAAAGAAATCAACCCTGACTGTTCCCTGGAAGGCCAGATAATGAAACTGAAGCTCAAATACTTTGGCCACCAAATGAGAAGGGAGCACTCACTGGAGAAGACCATGATGCTGGGAAAGATTGAAGGTCAAATAAGACGGGGATGGCAAAGGATGAGATGTTTAGACAGTGTCATAGATGCAACAAACATGAAGTTGAGCAAACTTCAGAGGACGGCGGAAGACCGGAAGGCCTGGCATGATCTGGTCCATGGGGTCGCGAATAGTCGGACTCAACTGTGCGACTGAACAATAACAACTTTACATAAAGCTACTGTCAGCATTATAATATAAACAACAGAAACTCAGAAAATCCCACCTGGTCCTACCCACTTTCTAAACCCCCTTGATGGATGTCGGGTAGGGTTGCCAATTCCCAATTAGGAAATAGCTGGAAATTTGGGGGGTGGAGCCTGGGGAGGACAGAATTTGGATATAATGCCATACAGTCCAACTTCCGTAGCAATTGTCTCCAGGGGGAATGATCTCTTTGGTTTGGAGATCAGTTTTCATTCTGGGAGATCTCCAAGCTCTACCTGGAAGCCGGCAATCTCCTCATCAGCCCCCTTTCTTCATTTTCATCTGTTCTTTCACAACATACTTAAAAAAATGTTTCTCTATGACACAGCTCACTCATGGTTTTCACCCCTGTGCCAGGTTTCAGAAAAGAATAGGATGGCTTCATTAGTGCTTCAGTGTTACAACTGAGCATGCTCCAAAATTTTTGAGCATGCTCAGAAACAGTGTCAGAACATATTCAGTTTCTGACAAGATTGTAGAATTTGACACTCTGCCAGTAAAAGAGTGTGAATTCGGAGCCTCACTGTGTATCGCTGCTTCTCGGCGCTAAAGTTGGATGGGAAAGAATTCCTGATGGCGACCTCATCCTGGAAAGCTAGAACGCTAAAGAACCCGGAACAGAGAGTCGGGTCTTTCTCAGCTTTGGAGCCGAGGACAACGGGTAGGGTTGCTAAATAGGAGTCTCTGTGAGATTTTTGACTGCACGCCCACGGGGACAAGGAGGGCACAAAAACGTTCACGTATCGTCCCCGTCAAACTTCGCCAGTGCAGGGGCTGAATTTGGATTTTCTCCATTTTCCGTGTAGAGTTCCCAGATGTAAAGAATACAGAGGAAATTTCCCTTGACTGAATAGATTTCCTTTTTTATTATTGAAAAATAGCATTCTCCCCCCCCCCCCAGGAGAGATCTCTGTTGAGAGAGCTTTTGAGTTCTTTTTTGATTCTGTGGGGCATACAATGATACACAGCATATTTCCACAATGTAGCTTTGAAATATGGGTCTGGTAGCCCTTACCCGGATTTAATCAGCTGGATTTGGGTCAAAAGTGGTGGATAAATGTGGATATGCACCAAATTTCCAGTCCTGGATTCCTAGTTTATAATATAATATATAATTTTAAAGTTGCCCGAGACAAGAAGAAAGCAGCGGGGACCGGCAAAACTCATCATTTTTGTTTGGTTGTCTTTCACCAGGGTGGTATTATGGACAAGGGGTGCAAGTCTTTCCGCATAGGGAGATTTTAGAGTCTTACGGTTTTTAAAAAGCGTTTTGGTTCTCGTTCTGCAGTTCGGGAAAAGTAGGAAGGGAGACACAGCCACGATCCTAGGTGCATTTGGGGGTGGGGCGGTGCACACGAGTGGGATGTACTTCTGAGTAAACATGTCTAGGATCGGCCTCCCTATTCAGGACAAAGTCCTAAACATCGGAGCGTTGGGGAGGAAAGACGGCGCTGATTAGAAAAAACGAGCAAGCGAGGAAGTGCTCGAGAACTAGAGGAACCAAGAGCATCATCCGCTCGGCCGGTGCTCCTCCGGGCAGAATGCCCTTTCCTTCCAGGTGGTGCAAAGCAGAGCCTATACAGCCAGGCCACGCCCACCGCGCATACAGATACCCCCAACATCTTTCCACTGAGGATGGAGGGGCGGGGCTTGAATGGGGGCGGGGCTTCAGGGCAAGCGTCAGGGAGAAGCTGAAGGGAGACTCATCAGACAGGTTAAGAGAGGAACCGGCGGCGAAGGGGGCTCTGGCGGCTGCTGGCGACGGTCCTGGCTCTGCAGCGCCGGGGTAGGGGAGACAGCGGAAGGCTGGCCCTGCGGGGAAGGGCCAGGAACAAGACGAGGGGAAAGCGGCGGGCACGCCTGTCTCTCCGCCCGCCCGCTCGCCCGCTTTGGGGGAGCGGCTCCAGCGACTGCGGGAGGGGACAAGAGAACCGCCGTCGCCGCCTCTTTCTCCAAAGAAGAGGAAACAGGGGAGGTAACTGTGAGGAGTAGCGGCCGGGAAGGAGAGGCTTTTTTTGCTAGCCCAGCTGGAGCGGGAAGGCTGGGCGGAGGCGACGCTCGCAATGCAAGCCGCCGCCTCCGCCCTTGTGGTGGTGCCGTCCCAGTCGGGAGCCGCGGGGCGGGTTCTTGGTGCAGATTTCTCTGATTGCCTGGGCAGCGTGGTCGACTTGGGGCTAGCCCGGTCCTGTGCGTGTTTCGTCGGCTCTAAACTGCACTTCAGGCGACGAGGCTTCCTTCCAAGTAGCCACTGTGCCCAGGAGGATTGCAGCTTCCTGCCCCTGCCCCTCGGGTGCCTGCCCGCCCGCCAGTGGCTTTTCTGGGTAGCGTCCCGCATCTTCCCCTCTGCTCACTTGCGCGGCTTGGTGAGTGCGTGCACGGAGTGCGCCCCGGCTTTGTCTCGCCTGCGCGTGGCTGGCTGGCTGGCGTGGACCGGGGCGCCCGGGCTGCCCGGAGAGCAAGTGCCGCTGCCCTGTCTCGTGCGAGGCGCTGGCGTGGCTTGTGCGCCGCCCTCCCCCGTGGCAGAGGTGAAGAGGGGGACAGGGCAGGGGGATCGCGCGGGGACCCGAGGCGGGGATTCCAGGCTGTGCAGTGTGGATGTTTGAAATCCGAAGCCTGCCGAGGAAGGGGAGGCGGCGGCGGCGCGCGATTGGAGTTGGCGAAGTGATGGGAGGGGGGAGGCGGACCGAGACTCCCCCTGTCCCCTCCCAGGCCCTGAAAACCAAGTGCGCCGCGGGGGGCGGGGGGCGGGGGGGAGTGAGCCGAAGCGGAGCCGCGCCGCCCTTTCTGCTGCCCGGATCTTTGTGCTGCCGGCCGCGGAGTGCGTGTCCCCGATGTGTGATCTCTGTGGTGCTGGCGCGGGGGGGTGGGTGGGAGGCGGCTAGGGCGTGTGTTTCCTCGGAGCGGCGGCGCTGGGAGGCAGACGGGCCGAGCTCTCCCTTGCCTCCGTGAGTCTGCGGCTTCTTCCCTCCGTCGTCTCTTGCAGAACCCGAAAGGGCTCGCCGAGGCTGGGGGTGGGGGAGTGAGAGGGGCTCCGGCCAGTTGATCAGCTGCGACGTGACGCGAAGCCTGCTCGAGGGCGGCCGGGAGACAAAAGCCCCGGACGAATGAAAGGAGGGCTCCGCTGCCGGGATCCAACCGGGAGGAGTCGAGCAGATGACAGAAACAGCACGCTGCGGCGGCAACAATGCGAGGGGGGAAGGACGCAGGGAGGGGTGGAAAGAGGCGGAGGACGGTAAGTTAAAACGTGGCTCCGGAGGCTCCCGAATCGCCCAGTGCCGACGATCCCTGAACAAAGAACTGCCTGCCGAGAGCTGTAGGGAAGCCCTGGCATATATAATGGACAGGAGGTGCAGGGAGGTTTCAGCCTCGGGGAAAGCAAGAGGGCATCGGAGGGGTGTTGGGGGAGGATATGTGTGTTTTGTGAGAGGTGAGGAAAGAGCCGCCGAGGCTTCAAGGTCACTTCGGATCCCCTCCTTAGATGTGGATCAAATGGGTTCCCCACTTTGCTCCCGTAAAGCTTTGGGGGAGGGGGCCCGGGAGGGCCATCATTAAGCTCTCTGATGCCTTGTAGCAGAACAGCAAAAGAATAATGGGATGGTTTCAGGGGTATCACTGCTTGATTTCATTGTGTCTGAGTACCTTCCAACAAGTGGTTTTAATTGCTGGATAATAGGATTCCCTTGAGCATGTCAGTAACAAGTTCTTTCTCTCTCTTCTTTGTGGTGATATTTAATTTCAGGCTTGGGAGCAAGAGTGGGTGGCCTGATACCTGCTGCTGAGATACGTGGAGAGGTTGACTGGAAAAAGGGGTCTCAAGGAAAGCACGTGAAGAATATCTCCTGTGTAAAAAGCGCCCCAGTGTTCCATCTCATGTGACCCCTAAACACTGATGCTGAAGTACTTGCTCAAACCATAGAAGCTTGTGTGGACTTCAGCAAACTCGGTTCTCAATAAGTGAAGCGGGTTCATATCTCTGTAACGTAAACTGCATTCGCATCAGGAAAAAGAAGCCCTTTGTATTACATGGTCACAAGTCTCATCTTGATGTGGGCAGCTTTTCTGTGTGAACCATATAAATACATTTTGGAATGACTGGAATCTAGTGAAGCACAAAAATGTATGGGAATATCACATGTTAGAATCTCAGCTTCCCCGCCCCTCCCCATTGTGTTATCTCCAGTTCTGTGAACTGCAGATGTAGTCATGGCATTGTGCAAACTTTTACTATACCATATAGAAAGTATTACTGAGCCTTGGTGTCAGACGTAGCTTTACTTTTGAATTGGATGGACTTTGATATGTTATGTGCTATCAAGCCTTTGGAGGGAAAGGTGGCCCTTGTCTTTGAGTGATGCTACTGACGTCTTATGTGTGGGGATGAAGAGTTCATGGAGAGCATTGTCCTGTGACAGAGTTCCATGCAGCACGTGCATTGGCTTGGATTTAAGGATCTCACTTAAAATGAAGCTTTAAAATTCCTTGCAGTTTCTGACTTGTCCCAAAGAAGAAAGTCCGTACGATGGCTCAGACCAGTTTGCTGCAGGGAAAACAGTTTTATTGTCGAGAGTGGGTTTTTCACAAGCTCCAGCATTGCCTCCAGGAGAAGACAAACTGCAGCAATAGCGCTGCCAGCAAACCATCCGTTGTGCTCAATTCTGGTACCAATGCTTGTGTTGTCCCTGGAAAGGGTGCCGCCTGGGGCGTGTTGTTGGTAGGAGGGCCTGGAAGTGGAAAGACAGCCCTCTGGACTGAGTTACTGTGGCCAAGCTCACCTGCCAGTCTACAAAGAGGTTTACATCATCATGCCCTGGCCTTCCACTTCTGCCGGGCTCAGGATTCGGACACACTCTGCGTTGGAGGGTTTATCCGAGGGTTAGTGGCCCAGATCGAGCGCAGCGGGCTGATTCCCGGTTATGATGACAAACTGAGAGACCCTGCTGTTCAAAGCCTCATGCAGCCTGGAGAATGTGAGAGGAACCCTGCTGAAGCATTTAAAAGGTAAACACCCCCCCCCCCCAATTTGTATGGCCCTTTTTATCTCTGTTGATCGTATAAGTTGCAGTCCTCTTGAACAGTCAGAACCTACTTTTCCTTGCTGTTAAGTTGGGGGGGGGGGCCTGATCCTGGGGAAAAATTAGGAATGGATTGCAGGTTGTCTGCAGAACATCTGTAGCAGGTGATCAGAGGTGGGAGCTACGGGGAGGAGGGAAGAACAAAACATAGTGGCCTTGGAAGAGAAAATACTGCTGGGGTGAGTTTCCTTGCCGAAGTTTTGACCCAGCAGAGAAATTGTGTGTGTTTGTTACTGGCTTGAGGTCCTGTTTGGTGCTGCTGTTATTGGTGACATTACTTTGCATTATAACAGGAATTTTGCTCTTTGTACCATAAACTAGATTTTACACAAGATTGCTTTGATTTTATGCTGGGTGGAGTGATGTTGCTCGACTTTATCAGGCTGCTTTCCAGGTTTTATTCACTTAGGTACAAAAGCAGAATTTAAAATTTTAATGATAAGGGCACACTAGTAGCCCTGTTCACGAGTTACAGTGAATGCACAAAACAGTATTCTATGTACAATGTGTTGTTTTTATACACACATTGAGTAGTTCTCATGTTACATTTGATGTACATACAGCTGATTATATGACTGTTAAACATGACCTTTATCTAGGTAACGGTCCCTATTGTCATTTGTACAGTGAATGTGCTTTGGCCCTTTCTTACAAACAGGCATATTTTATTTTTTTACTTCATTCATACCCCGCCTTTCTCCCCAGTAGGGACCCAAAATTTACATCATTTTCCTCTTCTCCATTTTATCCTCACAGCAACCCTGTGAGGTAGGTTAGGCGGAGTGTGTGTGACTGCCCAAGGGTGCCCAACAAGCTTCTGTTTGAACTTGGGTCTCTTAGTCAGACACTCTAACCACTATGCTAAATTGGCTCTTTCTCTCTGCGCATACATTCATACATTCATTGTAACATGTGAACAAGACTGGTGTTGGAATTGTGGAGATAAAAGAATAAAGGCTGCAGCAGAGAAGAGACAAGATGCAATGTCTTGGGAGTGAATGGATGGAGTAGATCCTCCTGAGGAACCAGCCAAGCTCATCTGACTGAAAGTATGGAAGTTCTTAGTATGTTTTGTATGACATAAACATGGCTGATTTATTAGCCTGCTGACAAAGTTCCAGAACTCACAGAGCGTGCCAGCTGGTTGTCCAGTTACTTTATAAATGCTTATTCAGGAAAAAAAAGCTCTTATGTGTGGCTGTATAAATATTTGTCCATTTTGTACTGTTAGAAGCCATATTGGTTTCCTTTGGAGCAAAAAACTAGGGTATAGATATTTTAAGTAAATAGTTGCACAAAGATATTCGGTTCTTGGCTGTAACACAGTGCTTACTTGTTAATGGCTTTTGATAGTTAGCAGGTGAATATGAACTATTGTTTGCCATGGCAACTTGCTGTAGCATGTGTATTTAACCATTCTGTAAGCTGACTATCTTGTAAGGAGAACATCTACACTTGATTGGAAATTCAGAGATCTAAATTTTCCTTGCCTCATGGCAGGGTGTTGAATAAAACAGAGTGAGGCATGCAGCAAAATAGGGTGGAAAAGTCCTGAACTGGTAGAAGAGACACTGCAGTCATGCTGTGTTATTTTTGAACGCTCATGCATATGAAACTGTCCTGCACATAACTCAACAGAGAAAAATGTTGGAGCTGAGTTTGCTCCTTGCATTAGTTTTCTACTTTCTGGGGGTTGTTTACATAGGACAGTATTTATAAATGTAATCTTCCACCTATGGTCTGAAGTGCTGTATCATAACTGTACCACCTCAGAGTTCTACTGTGGTAAAATCTACCACCTCAATGTGCTGCATGTATGAATCATGGCTTTGAAGTGGCTATCTGTAATCAGCTACAACCACTTACCAAATTATATGTGTGTACCCAAAGGGAATCCTTAGATGTCTGCACATGAGGCTGGTTATCATTTTGCCAGTTGAAATCAGGAATTGTGCAAAGTTTAAGCTATACCAGTATTTTATGGTATACCACTATCTTGAAGGAAGGGTTGCCAAACTGCTCAGAAGCCAAATCTCTTCTGTGCTCCATATGATGGTTTGGAAACTACCCAGCATGTAATTGCATTGTAGATCCTGTTTGGAGAACAACCTAAATCCTTTTCTCCTCTCCTGGTGCTCTGATCTCGCCTCTCCTGTCTGTTGATGTTGACAGTCTTACATGTTTTTAGGTGCTTGGTTTCAGTTGGCTCAGAGATCCTTTATTTTACTTTCAGTTGGGTGGCTTTTTTGTTGCTTGTTTCCAGCGGGGGCTAAGGGTGAAAGGGTGATACCTGATATTTGTTGCACCTGTGCCCACTGAAATCAGCAAAGCGCTCTAGGCAGCATGCTGTGGAATCCTGAGAGCTCCTCTCCCTCTTTTTTCTTTTATATATCCAGACTGGTGAAGAATTCAGAGAAACTCAAAAGCTTGCACATTGTGTGTTGTGTTGTTTTTCGCTGGCATTCATGGATGGTGTTGATTGGCTTTTACTGTTGGATTTTGCTGTGGAGCAATGGAGCTACCTACTACTTTGGCCATATGGAAGTAGCTGCTTATAGGAAGAATAAGCAAAGTACCTTCTGTGTGGCAGCTGGCCTTAAATCTCTGATTCTGTTCTTAGCACCTTTAGTTCCTTCTGTACATCCTCATCTACTCTCCCGGACCTTTGTCTTTTCCCATTCCTTCCTATTGCCATGTTTCTTTACATATAGCATGTTTCTTTACATACAGCAGAGAGCTTCACCAAGCTATTTCCTTTTATTTCAGGTTCCTCCTTGAGATCAACTTCTATAAGGCTTTTTCTGAACCTTGACTACCTGAGTCCTCAGTGGCAGAGACCATGCTACTTCTGTGTTTGTACATAACCTAGCACAGCGATGCCAAATAAATAGTAGTCCACTTCTCTTGCTTGTTCTGTGGAATTATTTATATTAAAGCTGTAGGTGAATTGTGGGAGGGAAGGCAGCACTGTATAGCATATCTCCAAAGCTAAGCAAGGTCGGTACTTGGATGGGAGACCCCCAAGGAAGACTCTGCAGAGGAAGGCACTGGTAAATCATCTCTGCATCTCACTTGCCTTGAAAGCTCCTTGCTGGAGTCACCAGAAATTGGTTGACACCTGATGGCACTTACATATGTCATACATAAGTGGGCCAGAATAAATGCTGCCATTGCATTATTTATTACTATGAATGAAAAAGAATCATCAGTCACCTTCTGTAACTCTGTTTTGCCTAGCAGTGAATATGTGACCAGTCAAAAATATGGTCAATTCAGTGTTTGCTGTGTATTTTTAAAGCACCAGTTTCACTAGAACAGCAACAAGGTACTTTTCATCAGCAGTCAGGATGCTTCTGCTAATTTACTTGGAAACACTGGAATAAACTACAGTTTTCCATCTGTGTTAATGATTGCACTGGGTAGTTCAACACCAGCATTCGCTTACATTACCAACTAAAAAACTGGTCTGCAACTGGTTTGGTGGTGTTTTATTTTTAAGGCACATGTGGTGACTTGGCACCATGCCATTCCTTCAGGCATCATTACCAATGTACAGTCTGGTCATAGGAGCTTTATAGAGTAGACTGTCACCTTACATGGAAGGGATGCACCAAGCAGTAAGGGAGGAAAGAGTCTCTTCTAGTGATGAATGCTTCCTTTTTCCTTTGGAAATGCTGGGGCAGCACCATCTTGCTGGTGAGCTGTAGAGAGAGCTTTATTTTACTGCCTGATTGACCTCTGGCTGCTGTAGGCCTATGTCAGGTGCAGTCCTTATTCCTGGCCTTGCTACAAATGGTACCATAACAAAAGGGTGGGGGCAAGTAAGTTGCCATGTACAGTGGCATTATTTTCACAGCATCTTTGACTGCAGTCAGGTGGCCCACATGTCTTATTCTTTGAATAAGACAAAGGGCAAGATTTTTCAGCCTTTTCCTCTAGAATTCTGAAGGTGGAAGAAGGTGGCTGTGATAAATCATGGCAGAGTAAGCAATAGTAACTGATTCAGTGACTGATCATGTTGGTAAGTTGTGGTGGGGAATCTCATTTGAGTGTACCTTTATTTCTGTGTAACAAAATAGATGGAAGGAGGCACCTCTCTCTTCGCAGTTCCAGGGACTATGATATTTCTAAAATCTAAGAGGAAATAAGTAAACAGGTCTTTTGTGCAGTAAGTAACCTATATGTTCTGTAGTGAAGCACTGATTTGATGGTTGGACCAGGTAGCGCTGTCTTATAATACCTGTAAATAAAGCTGCAGCCTGAAGCTTTGATTGCTCTTGGAATGCCTGTAAAGTTTTGTCAGGATTGGGCTAAAAAAGCACACACTTATTCTGGTCTTCACTGTACTTATTCTGAAGATCCAAATCTGCTAGTTTATGTGCTGCACAGGCTTGTTGGAAAGTGTTTAAATACAAATTAATTTCTCTAAAATTCTCTAATATGAGCCTTTCATGTATCTTGACTGACTCTTGAGAGAACAGGCTTCGGTGTGGCTGACAGCTTTCCTGATCAGGGAGTATGGATTAGTTGTTTCTGAACATTCTTCATTTGAAAGATAGGAGATCTACAGAAACTGATGAGCCTAAGAAATGCACTTAGAGATTGTGGTGAGACCAAGTCTTCATACATCTAAATATGTGGTGCCATGAGGAGATTCTCTATTTTAATTGAGCCAATTCATATGGTTCATATGTTTACAAATGCATTGTCTATACGTGGAGCCACCACCACCGCATCTTGTTTCTCTTAGAGCCTTGTGGTAGTTATAATGGGGATGCTCTGGTGTATGTTCAGCATTTTGGCCACCTGTATAAAATATCAAGATATTAAAAGCTCCCTACATGTAACCTATACACAGTATTGTTAGTTACAGCCTATGCACTGGTAGTTTTAAAGAGTACTCATTTGACATGGATATTAATGCTCTCCCCAAGTGCCAGAATTACTAAGGCTACATGCAGGTGTGTGTGTGTGTACAGAATAAAGTGAAATCTGACAGGATAAATATTTTTCTATATGTGCCAAGAATTTTTGCTGGCTCCTTGGCATGCAGTTAGCTTCTTTCTGTAATATGTTTGTATCCATCTTTTACTTTTGCATACACAATAAGCATACCACCAGCACATCTTGTGGACAAGCAGTAAAACATGAGTTCTAAGTTTTACTTTCCTTTTGTGTCTTCAATTATTGAAGTTCTCTGTAGGCTGAGAAGAGTCAAGCAGTGTGCACAGAAGACAACATATTGTCTTTGACTCAAGTCCCATTACCTAAAACAATTTGTTGGGGTGATTCTGCTTGTGGAAATGGGGGAAGAATTCCCCACCAATCTCTGCTATGAGACATTATCTCACAGCCTCCCCTCCTCCTCCCTCTACAAGACAGTTTATGAGAAGAGAGTGGGTGAGCTGAGGAATGCCCAAGAAGCCTTGCAGCAGTCAGCTAAGCCACCTGTTGCTGAAGATGACTGAGAATCTCTGGGCTCAGAACCAGTGTTCCCTCTAAGCTGAGTTAGTGTGAGCTAGCTCACAGTTTTTTAGCCTACGGCTCCCACATTTTTGTCTTAGCTCAGGAAAGATAGCTCCAGAGCAAAGTAATTTACGCCATAGCCAAATTGCTCGCTCACCACTTTAATGCCTGTAGCTCACAAAGTAGAATTTTTGCTCACAAGACTCCACAGCTTAGAGGGAGCATTGCTGACCTGATATGATTCTTTTGCCGTCTCTGTATGGCCCCGGTCACACGGGCCAGATAATGCGGGGGGGAGGCGTGGCATTTCGCCCCGGAACAAAATAAAGTGTGGTAGCCCGATCGGACGGTCCCCCAAGTCGCCGTTCTTCGGCTGTTAGCTGGCGATCACACGGCGATGCTGCAGCGTGGCAAAGAAGCAGTGTGGTGTGATCACAGAAGCGTTTCACGTTTGTGTGCATGCGCAGTTCTGCGGAGTAGCACTGCTTTCAGTTTCGTGTTTGTGTGCATGTGCTTACGAAAAACATCTGGTTTGCAATGGGACGTGGACGGGTGCCGGATGCCACGGGATACTAGCACTCCCGCAATCAGATGCCCGCCTGTGCCATGCATTTTCCGGATACTAGTGCACTTTCTTTGGTACTTTTTAACTCTGCATCTTTGGCGGGACGCAATGGGTTGGCCATGGGTGCGCTACACTTCCCAGATGTTGTGGTGTGATCGTGCTCCAAAAATCCACCCAACATTCGTGCCTTTCGCACAGCAAATTCTCTGTGTGACTGGGGCCTATAGTGATCAGCCAGGCACTCAGTGTGAGCAAAGCTCATCCACAAGAACAAGGTTTGAGAAGTGAGTAAGACTAGGGTGACTGGTATGCCTCTGAGCCTTCCCAGCAGAACCCTGTACACAAAACAGGTTCATCTCTGTCCCACTTATTTGCTTCATTTATAGTCCACCTTTTCCACTGAGTCTCAAGGTAAATTACAGAATTTTAAAAAAGCAATAAGGACAGCATAATAACTAAAAATACTGGAAAAGTATAATATAAACAGTGCAATAAAACTGGATTGCATTGCTAACAATGTATTCCAGGCAGCACAGAATATACAGTTAACTAATTTAAATGTCATAGACGTTACAATACAGCCCTATTCCCTTTACAGAAATGCTCTCCATGGTATATGTTCTGGTGCCCTGATCTGGATAGCCCAGGTTAGCCCTATCTCGTCAGTTCTCAGATGCTAAGCAGGGTCAGCTCTGGTAGGTACTTGGATGGAAGCCCATCCAAGGCAGGCAATAGCAAACCCTGCTGAACATCTCTGGCTGTGAAAACCCTATGGGGTCGCCATAAGTCAGCTGTGACTTGATGGCCCCCCAAAAAGTCCTGGAGAAGTAGTAGAAATGTTGGAGCCTTCCAGACCTCTTTAGGCTGGCCATTTCACAAGGTAGGGGCCTCAACAGAGAATGGTCAGGTATAGGCAGCAGCTGGTCTCACCCATTTGCAAGGTGGTGCTTTGGCTTAGATGAGTGAAACTGCTGCACCCTTTAGTACACTATGGTGGTTTACTGAGGGCTACTTCATGTATTGTAGTATATTTTTGACCTGCCTTACTTCCAGGGAGCCCAGGGCAGTGTACACTGTTCTCTGCTGCTCCATTATCGTTATAGCAACTCTGTGAAGTAGGCTGGGCTGAGACAGAGTGACTGGTCCAAGGTCACCCAGCAATGTTTCATGGCAGAGTGGGGACTCAAACCTTGGTTTCCCAGATCCTAGTCCAGCACTAGCCACTGCTAAATGTCAGCAAGTGTATGATTTCCATCATTTGCACAAGCGACAAGATGCTCTAGCTAATCACAACATTATGAACTGCTTTCATGCATAAGGTTGAAGTACTGTGATGGACAGGAGGCTGTCCTGCCCTGAGGAAAAACAGCTACTCAGCTGAGCCTATGGGAGTGATGCTCCAGCATCCACTCACCTTTCAGAGGGGAGAACGGAATGTGGGAGGGAAGCGCAACTGGATGGAGTTCAGATCTGCCTCAAGGAGAGTGCAGTGATAGTTTTGGGTCTGTCTCAGTAAAAGAGCAAACAGAAGAGTAGTTCTTCTTGGTAGGATGGCAGAGTGGTATCATTCTACCTCTGGGACAGAATAGATTGTTAGGCCTGTCTTTGGTGATGAGCAGACCTTGTACCATTTAGTCTTGTTTCTTGTCAAAGGGCAGGCTGGTATGGTGTGAGTGGAATCCCTTGTGGGCAAAAGGGTCCTGCTGAGTGGCCAGACAGTGAAAGCCTGTTTGTACCTTTAAGCTCCGAAGTGAATTAAAACTACACCCTGAACACATAACTAACTTGAACTTATGTGCCACATCCAGGTTTCTCCTTTGACTGCCTGGGCACATGTGCCACTGATCTGTTCTTTGAAACCA